ATTTTTTTTTTTTTTTTTTTTGGGGAAAATTTTTTTTCCCCCCCCCCCCCCACATCTTACTTTTTTTGCGATTGCTTTGCCATAATCATCTCACATCCTCTGGAATAGGATCAACCAGCGCATCCAGACGTCACACTCTAAGATGCTTTTCTCTGACTTTGTGACTGGGAAAAGAGCACATGTATTCAGGTGCTTATACTAATCTCCAAAATAGCTGCCTAAAAAGATGACATTTTAACATCACCCCTGAGCGCGTATGGATTATAAATACGGCAAAAATGCAAAGTTATACTAAAGTCTAATGGGTCATCTTGGCGAATTATTTTTATTTATATGTCTATGCTAAAGTATATGCTACTCTGTACTGTGGTACGTTGTGCCGTTGTACAATACTATACGTATCATATAGTATAACACATTATTCTGTACTATATTGTAGTATACCGCGAGTATAGACAGTAGTAGGCTGAGCTAGGCAATACTGTGCAATAGCGTACTGTGAATACCATCGATTTATAGTGTTGTCTACTGCAATACACTGTGCAATCTAATCTATACTGTAATATATTATATTGTAGTACTGAACTATAAACTCCTGTAGTATAGTAGCTAAAGGCAAGAGTTGATATTGTAGTATGCCATACCCGTTTTTAGATTAAGGAATAGACATGTGCGTGATTATCAAATGGCCCGGTCATAAAACGGTACATATAGCTCAGATGCTAATGCTAAAGTTAGCTCGCGAGTGTGTATGCTAGCATCAGCATCAGGAAAGCAGTGACAAGAAACTTGTTGGCCGAACAAGAAAACTGAAAATGAGGCAAATGTACTACATGAGACTGAACTATATTGTATTGTAGTACACTCGCTTTAGGCAAGAGTTTATATTGTAGTACGCTACACTTATATTTAGATTAAGGAATACATGTGCGATACTATCAAATGGCTTGGTCATAAAACGGTACATGTAGCTCTGATGCTAATGCTAAAGTTTGCTGGCGAGTGGGCTTCGTAGTATCAGGAAAGCAGTGTAAAGAAGTATTTATCAGATGCAATGAAATACATCCACACCGCACACCGGAAATGTTCTCTAATTAGCCTGCTAACAGAAAAAATGCTTGGCGTAATATTGAGCACGCTCCAACCTGAGCATTTGTAACATTCGCATAGTGTCAAGCGCAGTACTTTGAGATGACCATTAGCACACTAGTTTTGCTCAGTTTTTTTTTTCTTCTTTTTCCTCCCAAGCTCCATTTAGTGTTCCATCACTCGCAGTTTGCTGGCCGCCCAAAGATAAACCGCCAGCCACTAGATTGCAACTCTAATCAGAGGACATTTCACGGCTGCCTCTTTGGGTGCCAATAGATTTCTGTTTGTTATTTGTGTTCTGCCTCGTGTCGTGGTGATCCTATAAAAGGGGCTCAGATGAAACTCCGGAGGCAGGCCTGCTCGCCGTACATAGTTTGGTGCACATTAGGAGGAGTCGACTTGATGCTGATGGTGGCTGCTTGCCCCGAATGGGGCAACAGAGCTGAGGGGAGCTATATTTAGCCTGACCTGACTGGCCGTTCCAGGGGGAGGCGGGTAGGTCAGGCAGGGAGACAGAGGAGACAGGTGTAAGGGGGGTGGGCGGTGGTGGTGGTGGGGGGGTCATTATAGAAGAACACAAGAGCTTCACAGTCAACGGCCCATAATGACATCGGCGCCTATATTTAGATCCCATTTGAGCCATGTGCTTTGCGCTTTGGGGATGGGCGACATCATCAATCATTCCAAAAGTTTGAACATAAAGTTCGGGCGTTTTTGACCCCTTGCCCATTTTCTGAAAATGCGTCAGAGAAAAGTGTTCGGTCGGATCATCATCCCCAAGGTCCTCTTCCCGTGTGTGTGTGTTTGTGTGTGTGATAGTTTTATTATAGGTAGCCATACGCGAACGTGCGACAAATGAGCCAAATGCTGCTTCACCAAGTCTAGCCAAAGATCACACGTAGCTGGCGGCTCGAATTGCTTTCCATGATATTCCCATCTCGCAAAAAGGGCTTTATTGGGCCATCAGTTCAAAGCAGGATGGTTCGTTAATAAATGATGAGGCTTTTTCAGTGGACCCAAGAATGTGTCTGTTTTTTTGTCTGCGATCCAAAACTGTCATGAGGGCGAGCTCGCTTGTGTGTGCGTGTGTGTGTGAGAAAGTGAGCAAATACAAAAGTCGCAAACTTCAAGGTAAAGAAAAAAAGAAACCGGTGGGTGGCGAATGGACGGTGCTGAAGCTGTTTCCAGGGCGACCGCGCTGTGTTTGAAGGTGACACGTCGCGTTAGCGCTCGCTGGCTAACTCGGATCTCGCAGCCAATCACAAAAGTGTTTCACACCGACCCTTGGAATGTCTGCTCGTCGGCGTAATGAGAAATTTGCGGCGATATGACGCTTCGCGTGGCAGGCGTGCCCAGCATTGTTTTCGACCAATCAAAGACGTTCGAGGTGGCAATCAGACATGTTGGCGAGATTGTCACGCACGCAGCAAAGCAAAAACAAACGGCGCTCGTCACGCATGAGGGAGAGTTCATCATTTGTCAATCTCAGGGACAAAAGTATTTGGACACGAGCGTTTGGGCTTTCAGTGTTACACCACAGTCTCTACTTTGCTGCAGTGGCCCGTTTGATTTTTGCCCTTAGTCTCTTGTTGATTAACACATCTATGAGTTAGGTGACCCTATTGTTGTGCCATACTCTGAACACTGAAGTACACTCCATAGTCTCCATTTTGCTGCAGCAGTCATTTTTCTGATGCCCTCATTCTCCTCTTGAGTAACACAATAATTTAAGATTCCCCTGTTGCTCCATTAGACCTTGTTCTTGCTGCGCTTAATCTCCTCTTGAGTCATACACATCCATAACTTTCCCTAACCCTGTTGGTGTGCCTTGGCTGTGGTCTCTGCAGCGTTATACTCCACAATCACCATTTTGTTGCAGCACTTATTTCGGCCCTCATTCTCCACTTGAGTAACACCCACAATTACTTGATCTTACACTGTTGCTGTACCTCAGGCTGGACACTGCAGTATTGCACTACACAGTCTCCACTTTGCTGCAGGAGTATATTTTCTTGTTGCCCTTAATCTCCACTTGAATAACACACACAGTGTAAATTAGTGACTGAAACAGTGTAAAAGTCACTAGCTTCCTCAGCTTACCCACTCTTGATTAACACACACACAGACTAGCTTAGCATATTGCAGTGCCTCACCATGCTGTTCCATAGTCTCCACTTTACTGCAGTGGTCCTCTTGAATAATACACCCGGTAAGCTATAGCAGTGAATGAAATTGACACACTCTCCTCTTGAAAAAACATACACACTTGCTTACCCTGTTGCAGGGTCTGTTGCAGCTTTGTACGCTGCAGTATCATCCTCCACAATCTCCACTTATGCTGCAGCGTACTCGCAGCCCTCAGTCTCCTCTGCAATCATAGTTAGTTCCTTGCTGTGAGCAATTATTAATAACAGGAGACCCCACATAGTAATCCATTGTTAGTGTGTCTCATTGGGAATCCCAAAAAATTCCAATCTTTTGCAGTGGAACTGTGGCCGGAGTGTTAATTAGGAACTCAGTAGTGTAATTCAAGAGATATCCCCTGATAACTAATAACATACCGCTGTAATAATGTCCGCTCCCATTGTGAACTCCCCGTTGAGCAGAAGCAGACGGTAAACTTGAACTTCGGTTCTCTCCAATCCACACGGGTGGTGGTGGTGGTGGAGGTGGGGTTGCAACACTGTTTTCAATGCAGTCAATTAGCCAAAGTGTCCTTTGCCGAGTTTGTTCATGCGTTTCTCAGTTTGTATTATTTTCTTGCCAAATGGGGGGAAGGACTCTGTTGAGAATGCAGAATGTCATCTG